CAAGAGAAAATAAATAAAACACGTGGTTTTTAAGATTTTTGCTCAAAAGATTTTTGATGTCTGCCTTTCCATTATCGATGAAAATCGGACGGCTAAGCAAAATTATATTTACCATCATATAACATATTCTGGTAAATGTTATAATTGAACTTGATAAAAACTTGCTGGTGCGATCTATACCTCTGTAAACGATTACATTCTATTGTGCATTATTTTGTTTTTCTTTACCGAGATAAAAATGTCAAGGTTGTTCACGGTAAAAATGTGGGGAATACCTTATTCTTCAAAAGTTTTCATCTTACTTCTACTAAGTTTTTGTTAAAAATCTTTTTGAGGAAAAAAAGCATGTTTTATCCCTTTGTTCTTTAAAATATGTTTTTGAGTGTGTAAAAATGCTGTTGTCTGACTGGACAGAAAAATAATTACGTGTTCTTGATGTACATTTATAGCAACTTTCGGTTATCGTTCTTGACTTCCATATTTGGAAATCGTCCAGACCTGTTCAACATTTCAAATTGTCTGGTAATGATCTAAATAAATGTACAACATGACCCTATTAAACTTGTTGCAATAAACAATGCATAAAGGCAAAGGAGGATAACTCTTGTAACAAACAGTTTTAATTTGTTAAAAATGACATTCTACAAACCCAAATTTTTAGCTTCACGAAAAAAAAGGTTCATAGTCTCAAAGCATTAAAAGTAACACTTTGCTATTTATATAAATTTTAATTAGTTATTTTTTTTAATCACACGCAAACTGATAACTGTGCATTAAATAATTGCTTCCTTGCAGTCAAAATTCAAAAGCCTACGCCTAAAAGTGTCTGCTATGACACACTTACAGTTGCTGATTTTAATTAATACAAGTTTACATTTTCCCAGCAATCGTTTGAACATTTGAGGAAAAGATGTCTAGCGTTAAAACAAGATAATTAGCATTCTTTTGGTCAGAAAAAGCTGTGCAAAGTTCACTGTAAATTAAGGACTTTTAATGACAAAACTTGTTTCCCTCACACTTCTGAATAATTACATAATTTTCTCAGTAAAGTCAAATAATCCAAAGTTCATTGTATCTTCTCATAACCAGACTGCATTTTCTTAATCTCGATTCATATAATAATATGGTTCACTGTAGCAAAATATTGGACGTTCATCATCTTCTACTTCCAGAGAGATAGGTCTGTTGGCAAGCATTTCTTAAATTTTTTTTTTCATTGTTGTTTTTGGAACCTTCAGATATGAAAATTTAATCTGAAACACATGAGATACAATATAATTATAAAGTTATCATCTGAATCATTATATATAGCAATGGCAACAAAAACCAAAGAATCACCTAAAATGCAAAGAACTTTCTATAAATAGCTGGTGATGTGTATCTTGTTGGTCTGTAGCTTTACTCAAAGATTCATTTTGGCAATTTTGGTTGATATTGGATTGAGGTTCTAGAGAAAAAACAAAGTTTGAAAAGTAAATGATGATGACAACAACCACAGTGAACACAGATTCTGATTCTTTGATCAGAAAAAAAGCTACTAAAGAAGGCTCCTTTTCCCCAAAATATTAAATTTTCAAATTATCTTGGATGCCCCCCACCCGCCTACAAATTTAAAAAATCCTTCTTTGAACTTATGCTATAGATGCTATAGATAAATTGCAACTGGCTAATCATTTGGACTGTCTTGAAAAACAGAAATTAAGTTTTTTTTTTAAATTATTTCAGCAGAGCCCCAGCATAAAATGACTTCATTGTATAATGATTTCAATTTAAAATTCAAAATGAAAATCAGAATTCAGCACATGTTCATGTATGCCATTTATTTATTTCATTCCTATTTATTCTATAGAAAATTGGATAACTCAGACCAGTGTCAAAGAAATTGACTCTTTGTTTCGATCAATGCTGACAGAATAAATTAGCCGTCCGCTTCAAGTTTTTGCTTTAGATATCCTTTAAGTACAGTAATTACCATGACACTTTCGCTTCTCAGATGTTCCTTTGATGGGTTAAATCCAACAAGAGATGTTATGCCCCCTCCCCAAAGCATTTGGAATTTTTCTAAGTCCAAGAAACATAACTCTATCCAACATTTCTCAATCTTATCCAAAACCGAACTTGCCCTACTAGATATTTTTATGATAAATCTGTATACAAAATTTCATTTTAACATGTACAACATCTGCAAAGAAGTTTGTTGATTTTTCATAGCAATGTCCTTTTCATGTCAATCTCTGATGCCAATTCCAGCATAGATTGCTTCAAATACCTCATTCTACTATAATTTCCTATAGAAATTAAATATATTAGTACAGAGTTTTTGACACAGACTAATGCTAAAGCTCCTCAGCATAAAAGGTTTAAATGAAATGAGTTAAGTTTATCCATATCATATGTCATATCAGCCCATGTGGCCCTATTATCAGCCGAGGGCCTGCCTTTACTTATCAATCTAGTCTAGTTATTTGATACTAAAACATGATCTCTGGCATAACAATATCATAATTTATTATTAACTATAGGTGCACAACAGGATAATTATACCCCGCTCCGAAGGAGAGGGGGGTATACTGTTTTATCCCTGTGTGTCTGTCTGTCTAGCTGTCTGTCTGTCCGTAACAAATTTTCGTCCCAGTTTTCTCAGCAACTACTCATCGCAGATGCTTGAAATTTTAACACAATCTTCTCTGAGGTATGCCAAACGGTGGGATATATTTTTGGTCAAATCCGATGTCAACTTCCTGTTTGTGTGTGCGTCTGTCCATTTTATACATTACAAATTTTGTCGCAGTTTTCTCAGCAACTACTCATCGCAGATGCTTGAAATTTTAACACAATCTTCTCTGAGGTATGCCATACGGTGGGATACATTTTTGGTCAAATCTAATGTCAACTTCCCTGTTTGTCTGTGCATCTGTCCGTTTTATACATTACAAATTTTCGTCGCAGTTTTCTCAACAACTACTCATCGCAGATGCTTGAAATTTTAAAACAATCTTCTCTGAGGTATGCCATACGGTGGGATTAATTTTGATATGAAACTGATGTCAATTTCATATTTTCTGTGCATCTGTCCATAAATGAACTTGTGTAAAATAATATGAGAATGTTTATTCACACCAGAGCGGGGGTATTCCTAGTGAGCATTAGCTCACAGATTTCTTGTTTAAGTGTGACTTAGTCTTTTTAATGCCCTGTTCACACGACAAGTTTAATTCGCAGTAAATTAATGCGAAGTAAACTAATGCGAATCAAACTAATGCGAATTAAATTGCGTTCACACGACAGCTAATGCGAAGTCAACTAATGCCAATTAAAATTTTACTTCGACAGTCAGACATGAAGAAGGCTATTATGACGTCATTTGCAAATCATGTCAACTTATGCTGAAGCAGATGCATCTGACATAATGTCTCAGTGTCTGGAAAATATTTTAGTGATTAACACATTTTTTCTTACTTTCTCACTCAAAAATAGCACATCAAGTACTTAAAGCTGACCACCGACATGACGCATTTGACTTAATTTTGCCATTACGCATGCCCCAAAATTCAATTCGAATTAGCTTCGCTAAGCATTCACACGGAGCTAATGCGGAGTAATTTAATGCGCAGTAAACTAATGCCAATTAAAGTAATTCGCATTAAATTCTCCGTATGAACACTAAGTGAAGCTAATGTACGTTTAGTTCGAATTTAACTCTCCGTGTGAACAGGGCATAAAAATACCCCAAAAATACAATTTTGGTAAAGCAGACCAAGCTTGTGAGTGTGATGATGTTCATACAGTTAAGGCTTATATGTATATGGAACTGTAATTGTAACAGTTTTATGATTAGCTCATTACTGTACAACAAAGTGTATCATTCAAAATATGTAATAAAACTAAAATATATACTGAATCCTTGTGACTCTAAGCAATATCAGATGAACAAGAATTTGTTACTTATGATGAAGACAGACAAACAAACAGACATACTAGTGTTGTGTTATCCAATTTAGCTCTCATCTTTTTCTTAGGAGGATGCAGATCTTCATCTTTTGTCATGGTCTGTGGATGAAAAAAAAAACAATAAAATAAATTGAAGGATATTTAATTGCATACATCCAAGGAAAGCATAAAGCTCGCAAGATACAATCAAGTACATGTACATGTAGTTCTATATGAAGTGAAAATTAGGGCTATATGTTCATTTTTTCTTTTTATTTCTTTTATTTATATGTACCTGCTGTTTTATTTGAATGATGTTGTTCAACGGTAAAAATGAAAGTATGACAATTTTGTTTTCACTCATTTCTCCTCCATTGAAAAGTCTTTGGTGATATTTTGTAACAAAATAAAAGTTTAAAATGTCAAAAAGCTAGGCTCACCTTACACATAAACTTGTCATCCATATACATGTTAAATGACAAACATTTCAAGGTTTGTTTTCATGCTTTTAAAAATTAAAAATCAAAATATTTTTTTTCCATTTAAATAATTCTATGATAAAATCTGCTCCAAAAGACCATTTAGGAATTTAAAAACAAGCTCTATCAATTTTATAGAAGAAACTAGCCTTTATTTCCTTTAGAATCAGTTCTTACTTAAAAGATTTGAACATTAATTGTTTTATTTTTTTATCAGTTGGCTTTCTGGTGACAGAAAACATGGCAAAAAAATTCTTCACTTGTTTGTGTCTACATACCCCACAAAATTACATACCCTCATTTTTTTTCCCAACAAATATTAGTACATTAAATATTGTACCCAATTGTGACCTCCAGAGGTAAAACTTTTATACATATATGCTTACATTTGTACACAATACAATATGGCAGATTTTTTGGAGTGCTATCTTCATCAATTTGTTTATAGTATGCTTAAAATCTAAATCACTTAATTTCCAACATGAGTATTAAATAAAACGTGTACTTTGATCAGTCTGTTTCTAGAAGAAAAAGTCCTTTTACATGTTGCTTTCCGAAGAACTTACCTGACAGATACAGATAAAAAAAAACCCATCAGATCTGGTATCCAGTCTAGAGCAAATGATGTCAGCCTTTGATGAAATGGTGTGTCCAATTATTAACGTCTTTTCTGTCCCAATAAATGGTTGGCTTGTAGGAAATAGGTATCAACAAAATTACTGACAAACTCAGTCCTTTAGGGAAATTTTCACCATTATGAAAATTCTAGAAGCTAGCTTGTTCAGAAATAAAGCATGAGAAAGCCAAGTTAAAAGGAATGACAAATTAAAGTTAACAGGGCATGAAATAAAAATTTTCAGGTGTGATGATTACATATTCTTTCTTTTTTCTTTATAAATAAAATGGTTTATGCCTACAACATTTTATTAAATATTAATTAATTTCAATTAACATGATTAAAGCTCTAAATATCATGTAAAAAGGGGTACTATTTTTTTTCTGAGAACCTTTATAAGAATGGCAGCTCTTGTACTTACAAAGTATGAAAGCAAAATAGTTGAAGCAACTTTTTAAACAAGTCTTGGTATTTACATTCTGATGTTGCTTTCTTGAAAGTTTCTGTGATAATACTGTGCAGATAAAAGCTGAATTCATGTAGTTTCACACTCAACCTGCAAAGATTATACATGCAATTATATCAATATAATTACGTTCTTTTTCAATTATAACAATAACATGTGCTTTAAAAATTAAATGGATCAGCCTGAGCCTTTCATTTTTTTAATTCAATCTGATACATGTATATACATGTTGATAACCTAAGACTTTGTACATTATGCTTGATCAACCCCTGACTCTTTAAACAATATGTTCAAATCTGTAATACATGTAAGTTTAATTTCACTAACAGTGCAAATGTTGGACATTGAAGAAGGTCAGCTTCCCCCTCCTCACATTTTTCCTCAAGAGAATGAAGAGATTGGATGTAGGTGCAGAACTTAAAAGCATTTTGAGTGTAAAAAAGGGAAAACTAATCTTTAAAAATCTTGAAAAATTTGTAACAGACACTTTGACTATATGTAAAAGGAAATTCCGGTCAGGTGCTCTACCAAATGAGCTATCTGACCACCGGCAATCGAACCCCATTGACCACCACATTCCTCCCTTCCTAAAGATCTTTGGGCCCAAAAGATCCGAACCCTGATTCATCCCTGGCAGGTCTCTCACCTGCCAGTTCCTGGGCATGGCACCAAATGTAACGGGATAGGAGAAAATGCAGCGGACCAATCAGGGATTTGACCCGCGCCCCTGAAACTGCTAACTGAGGGCTTTCACAGATCCAGCACAGTACCCTGATAAAGGTATATAGCTTGATAAGGCTATATAGCGTTATCAAGGTACATGTATTACAAATGGACTTGTTTAATCCTCGAGCGAAAAATCTACTAGACCTAATACTGTTGGGAATAAATACAACAACTGAATCAGAAATACATAGTGATGTTGGTAATCTGTCTTACCAGTGTTCATTCACTATTCCCTCGTTTTCGTTTATTCTCAACGTCATCATCTGTTTTCATATGGAGACCATTTTTTCCTCAATTTCTCATACGTGCCCTTTCTCTACGAAATTTCCCCCATCGCCTCGTAATTAAATTTAAAATCATAGGCATTTACTAAATTATCTACTTTTATTAGTGAATTGCTAGAGAGACGAAGTAGGCACAATCTACTTTAAAATAATTTTCTATGTGTCTTCCTTCAACATGTTGAAAATGCGAACGCCAAGTTTATCAAGGAGGAGAGGCCATTCACAAGTCACTGAAAAATTCAGTTTTTCTGTCCCTGGGTCACATAGACAGTCTGATCTTGGCGATTTTGTTGCCATTATTCGATTCTCATCCTTTCACCTACTGTCCTACCGTACCCACGTTGTTTTCCTTTGTAAAGCAAAGTTTGTTGTCACAGAACTGTTCTGCGAATTTCGCAGAAGGATAAATCTTACGGTCAACTAGGCCGGGCCTCAGGGCCCCTGCAAATAGTTCGTGATTTTGCGAAGTAATAACACATTTTAGGAACTCTTCAGGCATTAAAGGCACAAAAGTGAATTCATCGATATCAATACGGAGGCCTCAGGTCACCTTATATATTGATTGAGTTTTATAACAATAATATGTTTTACGGTGTGACCGCTAGGGCGAGCGCAGTTGTACCATCAAAAACACTCTAAAAATTGATCAGCCACTTCAAACATCAAGCTGCACGAGAAATCTCGACTAGCTGTGACGTCACACGACGTCACGGAGCTCGTCGGAGCTTACGGAGACAGCCGAGCGTCTGTTTTCAACTATAGACCTAGTGCAATTTTGGTTGAAAGACATTGTGGAGTTAGTTTTGTTTCTTTGAAAGAATTCTACCAACTGATCTAACGTTTTAGGCTTTTCGTTATTATTTATTTCCTTATTTATTTGGGTATGCAGGAATTCTGGGAATGTTGCACAGAGAAATTGGCTCTCGTATGTACAGATTTCAATCCGAATTTCCTCTGTACTTACACGTTAGTCTATTGAGCTCGCTGCGCTCGCTATATTGTGACCTCTGGTCCCCCTACTGATGTACAATATAAGATTACCTCTGGTCCCCCTACTGATGTACAATATAAGGTGACCTCTGGTCCCCTGACTGAAGAACAATATAAGGTGACCTCTGGTCCCCCTACTGATGTACAATATAAGGTGACCTCTGGTCCCCCTACTGATGTACAATATAAGGTGACCTCTGGTCCCCTGACTGAAGAACTATATAAGGTGACCTCTGGTCCCATAACTGATGTACAATATAAGGTGTCCTCTGGTCCCCCTACTGATGTACAATATAAGGTGTCCTCTGTTCCCCCTTCTGATGTACAATATAAGGTGACCCCTGGTATTCCTACTGATGTCCCCTCCTGATGTACAATATAAGGTGTCTTCTGGTCCCCCTACTGATGTACAATATAAGGTGTCCTCTGTTCCCCTTTCTGATGTACAATATAAGGTGACCCCTGATTTTCCTACTGATGTACAATATGAGGTGACCTCTGGTCCCCCAACTAATGTACAATATAAGGTGTCTTATGGTCCCCCTACTTATTTACAATATAAGGTGACCTTTGGTCCCCCTACTGATGTACAATATACGGTGGACACTGGTCTCCTGACTGATGTACAATATAAGGTGACCTCTGGCCCCCCTACTGATGTACAATATAAGGTGTCCTCTGGTCTCCCAACTGATGTACAATATAAGGTGGCCTCTGGTCCCCATATGATGTAGAACAGAAAATGACATCTGGTCTCCATTTTGATGTAAAATATAAGGTGACCTATGGTCGCTCTAAAGATGTACAATTTAGAGCGACCTGTGGTCTTATTTACTCTTTGTTACCTCTGGTTTCCATATAAAGATCATGGGAACAAGCGGAAGTTTTATATTGTACATCATTAATAAGGATTTCATGCTTCACAAATTGTTGTATATGAATGAGATAAAAGTAGTCTTATGTTGTATATTATTACCATGTGACAAAGTTGTAAGTAAGCAATCATTTAAAATTATGGTATGTGTAGAATTATTTTTCAAATCCTCTCCAAAAAAAATTGCGATCCTAATTTTTTGACAGGGAAAAAAGTGCACAATTTCTCCGAATTCTATACATGTATGTAATTGGAATTTGGAGGGTTACTCAACTTGCTTTCTTCAAATGCATTATATGTATCCCAAAAGTAAATAACAATTGGTGCATTTTTTAAAGTTTTATTTCTTTTTGTTTTAAATTTAGTTTTGATTGGTTTATGAATTTGATGTCATAATTCCAGGGAAAGGGGAGGAGAATTCCATGCAGCACCAAACTTTGCAATACAGGGGGAACATCTTCTTTGTAAAATAAATAAATTCAGAGGTTTACTAAAAAGTGTTAATGTGATGAAGTCGCCTATTGAAGCATGACCTCATGAGGAGAACAAAGGAGACATTAGATAATTTATTAACAAATAATTATTCCATTATGTTAAAGGATTGGTGAAAAGTCCGAGCAAAATGAAGAAGTACGGGGAGGTAGGGGGCACGATCTTTACCTCCCCTATTCTCTTTAGAGAAGTGGACAGGCTATCGCCTACATCCATCTACATGGATGTAGGCGACAGCCTGTCCACTTCTCTAAAGAGAATACATCCTCCCCTAGCTTGTTAGAAATCTGCGAATTCAGAGACTAAACCATCCGCTTCGTTTACTCTGAGTCGCTTACTATTAGTAAGGAGATCAGAGGTTAGACACTGTGTTATATACCTGGTAGATATTATAACCTTACATGGAGTAATAAAATCATAGGATAGATCACAGGTCACCCAACATATTCCATAAATGTTAAACTCTTATACATGTATATCCTATGTCATAATTTGCAGTTAATGTTGCTCAGCACCCCCCCTCCCCATCTCTACCTTTTCTAATACCCATCACATGGTTATTCCTTTGACAAAAATAAATTTTCTGGGTTTGTTTACACTGTAAAAAGGCTTCACAGTATTACAAGTTATTCTACTTTCACTAATTTACGTATGCAACGCACTACATTTTGTAGCGGAGTAAACAGGCCCGATAGTCGTGAACTGAGCAGGGGACCTAAGGTCCTAGTTGAGCGTACGTTTTATCCTTCTGCGCGAATTTCCCAGAGTTGGAATTTTTTATGGCATCTCGATCCCGATAAAATTTCCCAATTTTAATTTAAAAAGTTCTCGCACAATCTTTATGACCAACGGTTACCGAAATTCTCAGTAGTTCAACTGTGTAAAAACATGCATTTTACTTTTTTTTCTTGAATGCATGTTTGCTGTTGACATGAAAGACATTAATTGAAATGAATTTATTGAAGAAATTCTTGCTTTAAAAAATGATGTTTTTTTTTTATAACGATCAAATTCTAAAGAGAAAATCAAATATATTTATTTAACGATGTCTATCTGATTTCATTCAATAAAATGCTGATTTTTTGCTTGGGTAGTCCTTTTCTTCTTGTTCAAGTAATTTAACTTTGGGGGTTTAAATATCCGATAACACAATCAGTATTCTATACAAAATCAATACACTAAAGTTATGAAAATTCATATTTTGGAATGTTGTGAAAGGATTAGATACTTATTCATCTCATTATATGAGGTAAAATTTAAGAGAAATGTGTCTTTTTTAAGATATTTAAAAATATCCCTTCCAAAAGTTTTAAGGAAATTTTTCAAAGGCAAAAAGGAGAACATTGTTGGCAATCCTTACTATGAATTCGATCTATACTGTATAAGTCTATTTTTGTAACATCAAAACACAATCGAGTCTTTGGTTAGCACTTATTACAGTAACCACTCTAGAATTACGTTATGAACATTGATGCATTAAGAACATTGTAAGCCCGACGTGTCTTAAAACTAAACGTACAAAATATAGAAATCTTCAGTCCATAAAGTAAAGCTTTATTTATTAAACCTGTAACATTTTGTTAAATGTACTAAAAATTGGCAAGGAAGCAAAGTATATTTCCATTACAAAAAAAAAAAACAGCATGTTAATTAATGAGCAGATCAGTGTTTCGCTTTTTGACAAAAGACGACCAATTTACCATTGTAAAGCCAACTTTTAAAATAAGTTTTTTTAGCTCACCTGAGCCGAAGGCTCAATGGAGCTTTTCTGATCAAAATTTGTCCGTTGTCTGTCGTCGTTGTAGTCGTTGTCGTTGTTGTCGTTGTTGTCGTCGTTGTCGTAAACTTTTCACATTTTCATCTTCTTCTCAAGAACCACTGGGCCAATTTCAACCAAACTTGCTACAAAGTATCCTTGGGTAAAGGGGATTCAAGTTTGTTCAAATGAAGGGCTACGCCCTTTTCCAAGGGGAGATAATTATGAATTAGAGAAAAATTAATGGCAATTTTAAAAAATCTTCTTCTCAAGAACCACTGGGCCAGGAAAGATGAATCTAATGTGGAATCATCCTAAGGTAGTGTAGATTCAACTTTGTTCAAATCATGACCCCCAGGGCAAGGGTGGGGCCAAAATGGCCGACCCATGTTTTACATAGGAATATATAGGAAAACTCTTCAAAAATCTTCTTCTCAAGAACCGCTGAGCCAGGAAACTTGACACTCATGTGGAATCATCCTCAGGTAGTGTAGATTCAAATTTGTTCAAATCATGACCCTCGGGGCTAGGGTGGGGCTAAAATGACCGATCAAAATTTTACATAGGAATATATAGGAAAAATCTTCTTCTTAAGAACCATTGAGACAGGAAAGATGAAACTCATGTAAAATTATCTTCAGGTAGTGTAGATTCAAGTTTGTTCAAATCATCATCCCCAGGGCTAGGGTGGGGTCAAAATGGCCGACCCAAATTTTACATAGGAATATATAGAAAAATCTTAAAAAATCTTCTTCTTAAGAACCATTGAGACAGGAAAGATGAAACTCAAGTAAAATTATCTTCAGGTAGTGTAGATTCAAGTTTTTTTCAAATCATGACACCCGGGGCTAGGGTTGGGCCAAATTTACTGACTCAAGTTTTACATAGGAATACAGTGGACCTTCAGATATCCGGACGCCAGATATCCGGATGCTTCAGTATCTGGACGAAAAACAGAATTTTGAAATATTATTTTGTCTTGTTTAACTGGTGATTCAGTTATCCGGACGCTTCACATATCCGGAC